GTAAATTTGTGAATATTAGTAGAAGATTCTCACTTTCTCCACCTCACTTGCAATGATCAGGAATGAGATGAGATTCCTGTATTACAGATTTGAGGTTCTGCATTTATTAGGAAGATAATTTTTGGAACATGGTTTTTGGGACATCTAGGCTGTTTTCCAGTATCGTGATATATCAATTCCTAATATGTATTAATTCTGATTAAGTGACAACCAATGTATTCAAGATGCCAAGTCATTGGTGACCCAACTTCTCTATGTTAATACTAAATAAATTTAGAGAGCTTCCTCCAAAATGTATTTAAATAGTGATTTTGAAATCACCAAAGACTGTAGTCATCATATGACTGCTTATATTTAGTTCAAAATGATTACACAAGTCTCAACATCCAAGCTTTTCTCTCCCTGGCATTTTTGGAAGGTGAGCGAAAAACTGGTTCATTGCCCCCATCTCCTTTCTTTTAAATCACTCCTCCTGCCTACGTGTGAATTTTCCCATCAATGCCCACCCAGCTCGGCAGTGACCAGGCGGAGTCAACACCTGATGAGATGATTAGAAACATTGAGGGCACACTTGTAACCGCGGTTATTTTGTTTTTCCCTCTGCTATTCCAACCACAAGGGGAGCTTCATCGAAACAACTATAGGCGATTTCAGGACAGCCTCACTTCAGTGCTCTTAACTTCACATTTTTAAAAGTTGAACAGTTGACCTGACTTTGTACATACATATAAATATGTGTGTATATGTATGTGTGTATGTGTGTATATGTGTGTGCATGTGTGTGTGTGTGCATGTGTGTTTGCCAATGAAGCAGTTTTTATGGAAACCCCATTTTGGGGAAATTGTAGTAGGCTTTGTTTACGGATACAAGTTCTTAGAACAGAAGTTACGACCTGGTAGCCCCTGGCCTGAGTCACAGAGCCCAGCTTTATCTCTTCTGCATGGAGCTTTATTATTGTTGGTATTACTTAGCTTCTAGAAATTAGGAGATTTCACATGGAAATCCAGATTTCCAGCTTCTCCTGAAAAATCAGGAGACATTGTAAGGAACTGTGGGCAGTCAAGCACAGGTGATGCTCTGATTTTAAACTACAAATAGAGCAACTTAAAGGCTCCAGCCCCCCTCGCGGTGCTTCTCTGCCGCGCCAGGTGGAGCGGGCGGAGGGGCTGCAGAGCCCACCCGAGCGCTCCCTGGCCTCATGGGCATTGCGTGCCACCTGATGCCACCTGTCCTTTCCCCCAGTCTCTCTGCTATGTCAGTTTTCCCTTCACAAAGCTTTTCACATTTGGGCTCTTTCCCTCCTCTCCTTGTTGTGACTTGTCCAGGGCATGTGTTCTCGCCTGGGCTGCTGAATTTGTTTCCGCCTTCGCCATCAGCACCCCTCTGCCTCGCCTTTCCCCTGCCTGCCCCATGCCGCCCTGCGATCTAGTTACGAATTTATATGCCCTAAGCATGCTCCGATCGGTCAGCCCTGCCCTCGGTCCTGCAGCGAGTCCAGGACCCGCGTCTCAGTCTGCGTGTCACTCTCGCTCTGTGTTAATCCGCACAAATAGCAAGCAGCGGCCCAGGTCCCCAGCACCAACGCAGGCACCCGAGTCCCTGATGGCCTTACTCCCACGCTCCCTCCCCTCTCCTCCCGTGCAGGTGGAGGGCCAGCGCCTTCAGAGCCGGCCTTTCTAGCCCACCGTGGTCCAGAATCGCACGATGCAGCTCATCTTGCCTGGTTCATATTCCAAAATCATATTTTGTGTCCCTGATTATCTGAAAACGGGTTTCCCCAGGTATGACCCCTGGATATCTTACTTCATAATTACCTGTCTGGTGCTTAAGCACTCGTTCCTGGCTCCATCGCACCCTCCCGGCTGCCTTACGTTGGGACGAAAGTGACAGATCTGAAGTCCGGCAGGGCGAGAATGTAAAGGCAACGGGGCTAACAGTGACGCAGCATCGCCTGCCGGCCTGAAGGCGACGAGGCTGGATTCAATTAAGTTCCCAAGGCGTGCAGTTCGGGCCTGCGCGTTTCTCAGACACCGTTCACCCTGATTGTTGATAATAGCTCTGGGTGCGGCTGTGCCCAGCCCCCGCCGGCTGGAGAGCGAGGTGGTGAGGGCCGCACCTCAGCAAACGCAGGGCACTGAGGGCCAGCCCAGCAAACGCAGGGCACTGAGGGCCAGCCCAGCAAACGCAGGGCACTGAGGGCCGCACCTCAGCAAACGCAGGGCACTGAGGGCCGGCCGGGCGCAGGGCTGCTGCTTCCGCTCTTCCTGCCCCCCCTGTGCCTCGTCTGCAGGAGCCCCGGGGCTGACAGTGTGACTTGCAGTGGAAAGCTGAATGAGCGTTTGAGGGTGACAGGTGGCAAGGCCCTCAGCACGGGGTCGGAGTGACGGTGGTAACTCCCTGGCCGTAGGCTCACCGAGGTCAGGGCCCCCCGGGGCTCTGTGCACATTACCCAGCGAGCGCCTTGCTTGAACCCTAGTAAGTGAGGCGTTGCTATGTGCTCTGTGTGTTAACAATGGGGAGCATTCGGCCAGAGTTGCAGATGGAGGAAAGACACATTGTGATATGAGAAGCAACTACTTTTGTCATTCATGAAAAAAAATTTTGAGCAAATTTAAAGGATCTGTTTTATTTTTTGGGGGGGAGGGTTGATTAATAACCATTGGAAAAGTCACTGTGATAAAGTGGTTTAATGCAAAGAACAGAATTTGGAACTGGAAGACCTGGGTTCAAGATTCAATTTGCCACTTAACAGCTCTGCAAATTTGAGCAAGATTCAGAGTCAATCTGAACCTCAGTCCTTTAATCTATAAAATGAAGTCAATGCTACTGCATATCAAGTTGTTGTAGGAACCAAATGATGGAATTCATAGAAAATACCATAAAAATGTAGAATGCTCGTACTATTAATAATTATTCAAAATGTGAATGAGAATCTCAGAAAATATAACCATATTATTTTGAATCATGCTTTAAAGAGGGGGAACACACAGAAATAACAAAATCTCATCTCCATAATCACACAAAGCAGGCATTAGCATCCCCAGCTGAGGCCTCTGAGGCTCGGGAGGCTCAGTAACAAGCCAGTCATAACCCAGCTAGTAAGCAGCTGACCTGAGGTTTCAAAATCGCACCTGCCTAACCTCAAACACTCGGCTCTTCCCAGTGCACCAGTTGCCTTAAAAAAAATTAATAAACCAACACATGTATTTTTCCTTAACATTAAAAAAGAGAGATTCATGTTTGAAAACTAGCTCATTCTGATAACTGCCTATTAAGATGTTGCCATCTAGAACCTGGCTCAGTTTCCTTTTGTGAAATGCAGTAAACATAATTTGTGTGTAGCTTAAATGAAGTGTCCAAATGGGATAAAACAGGTCACCTGGGAAATTATAGAGTTTGTAGGTTACAAGAATTTAATGCTTAAACTGTACTTAATGGACACAATTTTTTTAAAAAAAGAAAGTACTTCAGTAAACACTTGGCTGGCCTATCAATTTCATCAGTTTCTCTATTAGGCTGTAGAATGAAATAATTATAGCAAAAATAAATAATATAAACATCACTGTAAGTAGCAGTGAATGCCATGTCTTTACGGATCTGGAGTCTGCGAGAAATGCAAAGGGAAATCTCTGATCCAAGTTCAATTTTTTACTTCAGTGTTTTTTTAAATGTTCTATTTAAAAATCTTTTAATAAGGAGAAGTTAGAGAATTTTCTTGCCTGTGGCTTTTGAAGGAAATGATTCTGATCATACTTCATGTCCACACCAACTTTTCTCCTGAAATAGAATCTCAGGCAGAGACCAGCTCCCGCTATTAATTTTGATCACTAGGCCCTGGGGTAGAAGGAAGGATCTTAAAAAAAAGTAAACACGTTTTTAAAAATAAAAGTGGGGGCAGGACAGGATGGGGGATAAGAGTGGATGGGAGGGTATGTGTGAAGGTAAAGTGTTGATTTAAACACTGTAGGGAAACTTTTGAGCACAGATCATGCTCTGACAAGTCATTTAAACATCTTTTCTTTGAAACATTGTATAAGGTAGTGGCTAAATTCATATGCTGTGGAGTCACCCACTCCGGGATCAAATCCCAGCTCTGCCACACTTCCTAATCTTATCATTTTAGCCACTTAATTCAACCCTTTGTGACTCTGTTTTCTCATCTGAAAATCAGGAATAATTACTGTTGCACAGGCTGTTATGATGACTCAGCATAATCATCGCCACACGTGGTCAGCGTGGTTGATGTTATTATTATTGTTTCGATGTTGTAGAACTTACTTGATACATATATTAAAGTTTCCCGTGACCTCATAATACAATTTTGAGGAATGGCAACTACTTAAAAGCTGTTACTTTACAATAGAATAAATTTATGAGACAGTATAAAAGACACAGCTATTTTGATAAAATATCAAGTCAGTTTACTTTAAGAAACATTAAGATGTTCATAAAATGAAAGGATCATAAAACCAAACCTTCTAGTCAATAATCATGAGCGTACATTTTCAAAGGTGCACGAATTTGCAGCCCCCTGGGAGCCTGATCGACCTCACGTGTATTTCAGGGCCGGCCGCTCTCTCCCGGGAAGGTGGCTCTGACTGCAGTGAATGGCAAGGCTATTTATAGACATTACTTCCCACAGCACACCTTCCTTTCTGTGATTATTATTTACAAAACACTCGTCCTCAAAGTATTCAGTCTCCTTGGCTAAAGGGAAAATGCTACAGCTCAACCAGAACCTCACAGAGAATACACATAAGTTGAAACTGTACATTCTCTCCCACAAAACAGCCTGTGCTTCCTGCCACGGGGCACGGAGAGCTTTCATACTAAACATCTTCAAACTACACGCAGGTCAGAGAAGACAAACTTTAAAAAATCAGAAGGACTAATATTATTTGAATTGCTGAGGCATTTTTCCACCTCCCACACTCTCTCTTGCTTATAAACAAAACCACAATTTTCACATTCACAGAAAATCAACAGCAAGAGGGCTTACCTTCCTTCAACCAAGAAATGTTATTTTTATCATTTTCGAAATGCTCAGCTGTTCTTACTTTTATCTTTTCCAGCTCAGTTTCTGACATCTAAGAGGAAACAAAATTTGTGATATACAAAATTTATTAAGAACCTAAATTTGTGACGTGGAGCTTTATAATAGAGACTGCTGCCATATTACAGGAAAATGTTTTCTCTACAGTTTTGCGGTTCACTGTCTAATGCTGTCTTCCATTTTATCCATTTGTAATATTGTGAAGCATTAACATTGAAACTAAACTTTATGCAATATTACATTTTCCAGCAGGAAAGAGCGCTATGATTTTATAATTTATGAATATGAAAGAATAAAGATTAACAGCTGGCCACAGATTTGAAAAACAAACATTCTGTTGCTGTTTTAATGTTTTTTAGTAGTCTGTAGAAAAGCATGTTGCAAAGTGATATACAAAGATAAACATAATAATAAAACATAAAATAACCTTTTCAGCACTGTCCTGGGTTGAATGAGCGCCCTGGCCCAGGCGGCGGCTCTGGGTGGAGGTCTGCCCGCCTGCCCTCAGGCGCCCACTCG